AGATCGAGGAGACAGAACATACGGATTAGGGGGATCCCTGAGACGGTGAAGCAGCCTGAAATAGCGGCGTACCTCACGGCTTACTTTAAAACACTTGCCCCTGACCTCCCAGCAGATGTCTTGCTCTTGGATAGAGCGCACAGAGTCGCAAAACCAAGCTTCCTTCCAGCAGAAGCGCCGAGAGATGTACTGACGCATCTCCACTATTATCATGCGAAAGAAGCATTGATGAGGGCATCTAGACTCCGCAAAGATCTTACAGCCCAATACAGACCTCTCTGCCCAAACTTTGAAAAAAAGGAAGGAATATAAAGAAATAATGGACGCACTCCGGCTCCACGAGGTACCTTACCGCTGGGGCCACCCAGTCCGTCTTCTAATACACAAAAATGGAGTTATGCATGTCATCACCTCCTTGGCGGATGGACGGAAAACCCTACAGAAATGGGGCATACAACCCCAAAACCAGACAAGAAGTGGCAACGACCCACAACCGAGCAAGCTTCCAGCTGAATGGAAAAGAGCCCGCAACTAAAACTGGAGCCCTGCGGTCCTGACGGAGGGGTAACACACTTGGGAACTTAGCAAGCAGCGGCAATGGTGTGAGATTCCATAAGATACTCACAACACCCACGACTAACAGAGAACTGGACTGATAAAGTGCCACAAGAAAGGACTACTGGTCTCAAGGAAGGTGAATATGGTACTACAACCCCTCACGCTGCCCTAGCAACACCGGCAGCATTTCACACACATACAAAGCCCACTCATTCACGACATGCACACAGCATTCATCTTGGGGACTAGCAAAATACCAAACATGCCAACCTCAAATCGACATACTACGCTACTACATGAACTCACATCGCTCCTAGGCTTGGGCAGAAGCAACCACAGCTGACGCCTGATGGGAGGCAATCAGCCTTAGAATAAATGGGAGCGAATACTAGGTGGCTGTAGGGAACATCCAGCGAAAGACGCACCACCGCCCATGAAAAGCGGCTACGCCTATGGGAGTTTGGGGGGAGCGGGGAGGTATCACGGGGAAAGGTAAATGTGTTTAGAATGTATTGCAATATGACTGTTTAGGATAAGTGGAACAATGTATAAGGAACAGTTTGCTAATTTAGCACATATGTGAATAGGATAGTCCCACTTACAATAAACCCTACCCCCCCCACAAAACCCTCTAGGAGACATACAAAGATTGGAGAATAGGAGTAGACTAAATTGATAACGTCATAATACAACAAAACCACAATGCAACCATCATAATCTCCCACACCTTAGATAACCGGACTAATACACTACACTAGGCTGCAACCACCGTCCTGCACTAATCAGCGCCACACAGAGAGACCCCAATAGGAGCTTCCCATCAGGGGACTGCACCGCCCCCCAGTAACACGAGAAGAGAAAATGTTGGCAGAGAAACCGGATAGCAAATAGGGGGAACCTAAGATCCCCACTCAACACACCCCCCAAAAAATAAATAAATTTAAAAAAAAAGTGTATAGACGTACATTCTCTGTTTGTCCTTTAATATTCCCAAAATATCACCGTTTGTACAACACCCCCAGCTGCAGGTAAAAAAAAACCCCAAAAAAACAATGTTACACTACTAGAATGTAAGTAGGTTGAACCCAAGGGACAACAGCAGTCCAGCGTAACTGCTATCCACTGCCCCACCGCAGGGCCGACAGTTGCCGAGAGGAATACCTCAAAACCACCATTGGTCACAACAAATTGATAATAGCCAATCTTACTATTGTTCTTTCCTTTAGAATAACCACGCTCTCAATGGTACCGATAGTCGGAACCAAGGCCCACAAATGGGCTATTGTTTTAACCCTTTTATTGTTCATACCCTCACAGTATGACCCCACCAAAACCCCCTCCCTCACCTCCCCTATTCAACATTAACCCGAGAGACAGATGTGTCCACTGAACAAGACGGAAACACCCACCTGACCAACATACCGACCTCAGGGTCCACCAACCGCCAAGTGCGGACCGTCCCTACTACCACTAAGCAAAACACTCATGCCCACGTCGGTGCCCAGCATTGTGAAGACAAAACTAACATACCACCAGCTACTAGCTCAACCCACCCCACACAAAGATCACACAAATGGAATCTAGCGTCCCAAGATACTGACCCAAAGTATGAAAGTACAAAGCTATAATGTAAGAGGGTTGAACACCCCATATAAGCGGCATTGCCTCTTCTGAGACCTTAAGAGAGACCAGCCTGACATCATCTGTCTTCAGGAAACACATTTTAAACTGCCACCAACCCTAAAAACGTCCTTATACCCGCACCAATATCATGCCACATCAGGGAAAAAAAACAAAGGGAAGTCAATACTGATTAGTAATACAGTATTCTTCCAGCACCACCATTCACAGATCGATAAGGAGGGAAGATACATGAAAGTAATATGCACAATCAATTACACTAAATACACCCTAGCAAATGTATATGCCCCTAATACGAACCAAAGGGATTTTCTACACAAAATCCTATCCATATTACGACCAATACAGGAGGGAATATTGGTCCTATGCGGGGATTTTAACCATATCATAGACCCCAACAGCGACACAACGTCTCGCGCTGCTAAAGTGGTGCAAACAAGGCAACGTAAAACATGTGCATCATATCTTAAATTATTGGACAGCAACAAACTGTATGACGTGTGGCAAGTCCTGCACCCTCAAGAAAAGGATTACAAATACCACTCAACCACACATAATACATACACCAGAATAGATAGATTTCATATGGAAAACCTACACTTAGACCAGGTTCTGGACTGCTCTATCAGCCAAATTACATGGTCGGACCATGCCCCACTCACACTGACCCTTAAAGACAACTACGATTACAAACATAAGAGCCCCTGGAGACTCAATGAATCACTACTGACAAACATACCCTTCTCCAACCAAATAGAAGAAGCCATAACAGAATTTTTCACACTCAACGACACATCAGCATGCACCTATTGGCAAGCACACAAAGCGGTGATTAGAGGACTCTTACTAAAGCGAGCAACACACCTGAAACAAACTAATCAAGCCCAATGGGTGGAATGGAACAAACAACTAATAGACCTCACAAACAAAAATAAAACGCACCCAACAGAAGCAATACAAAAAAGCATTAAAGAAGTAGCAGAAAAAATTAGACTACACACGCTGCAACGCGTAGGGTTTAATTTACGCAAACTCAAAGCCACATACTACGCACAAGGAAATAGAGCAAGCAAAACATTAGCAGCCCGATTGAAACAAGCTGAGACAAATGCAAAAAAATCACACCTATACACACATGACAACACGAAAGTGATTTCCCCCATAGATATTAGCAATGCTTTTGCAAACTACTATAATAAACTCTACAACTTGGCACAATACGAGCAAGCACCCAACCCAACGGATCATGATATACAGTCTTACTTACACGATGTCTCCTTGCCCACACTTACTCAAGACCAAATCACCTCTCTACAAAAACTAATCACCGGGCCCGGATGGCTTCACAAACATGTATTACAAGAGATTTGTGACCATTCTAGCCCCACACTTACCATCCCTCTTCAACTTCGCCACCCAAACCAAATCACTACCAGAAGATCTATTGCTAGCCCACATAATAACCCTACCAAAACCAGGAAAGCCCCCAACACATTGCCCAAACTTCAGACCAATCTCCCTCCTCAACACAGATGCCAAATTATACGCTAAAATATATGCCCGACGACTGAGCTCACTACTTCCAACCCTAATTCACAGCGACCAAGTGGGATTCGTAGCGGGGAGGCAAGGAACAGACAACACTCGGAAAGTTCTAGACCTAATACACAGCATAAGGAGGAAAGGAATAGGTAGCCTTCTAGTGTCCCTAGATGCGACTGGCAGCCACTTGGCAGCCACTGGCTGCCAAGATCAGGATGGAATCAGCAATCCATGGGGTAACGCTACGCCAGAAAGAATACAAATTAAGCCTATTTGCTGATGACATATTTCTCACTCTAACACAACCACACATATCCCTGCCTAATCTCATGCACCACATCACAGCATTCGGACAAGTGTCATATTATAGATTGAATGTCACCAAGACACAGGCACTAAGCATCAATCTTCCTGAGACACAACGGGCAACCCGTAAGAGCTTGTTCCCTCTAGATTGGAGGGATGATTACCTCACGTTCCTGGGAACCAAAATGACAAAAAATCCCATGTCCCTATACAAGACAAACTACCAGCCATTATTAGAAACCTTTCAGACCCTATTAAATACTTGTCATGGGTGGGGCGGATCGCAGCCATAAAAATGTCACTACTACCCAAACTCCAATACTTATACAGAACACTACAGATCCCATTACCGGACAAGTACACCAAAACGCTCACGAAAATGCTAACAAACTTCTCATGGCAGAAAAAAAAAAACCAGAGTAGCGACAAACCTGTTACAAAGGCCAATAACCCAGGGTGGACTAAGCTTCCCAGATCTAATGGCATATCATAAGGCAGCAGCATTGATGATGGTGCCACAATATAGACAACATCCCACAGCTCCCCAATGGCTGGAAATAGAAAACAGCTGGGCCCACCCGATGACACTATACTCTATTTTATGGACACCTAAAACACATAGGAAGGACACCAGCCACCTCTTACCCATGACTCAACACACTCTACATATCTGGGACTCTGCTAAATGCCTGATGGTACGATACCAACCAATGTCATTAGCAGCCCCAATGAACACCTTAGAACATGTAATACCAACCCTGAACATACAACCATGGCTACAAATGGGAGTCCAAGAGATAGGGCAGCTATACAATGACAAAGGGTTAAAACTATTCTCAGACCTACAACAAGAATTTAAACTACCACACAGACTAGGCTTTGCCTACCTACAAATTAAATCCTACCTAACCAAAAAGAAACCTAGCGAACCGGCTGCTGCAGCCACAAGGTCGATGACTGAATTTGAAATGATATACACCAATAGAAAACCACCGAAAAAACTAATCTCTATCAGCTACAAAGCGCTGACCCAAGCATCAGATCAGGGTAGAGAAACACACATCCAATCCTGGCATAGAGAACTAGGTAAAACCATACCAATGGCAGACTGGTCCAAGGCCTACTCCTCGCACAAAGGAGTTTCATCATGCGCTACTCACATCGAGACGCAGCGCAAGCTGCTATACCGATAGTACCTAGTACCAGCCAGGATCCACCAGATGTGGCCACAATCCCCTGACATATGTTGGAGATGTGGCCAAAATAAAGGCACCATGTCACACGTCTGGTGGACGTGCCCAGTCATCAAATCCTACTGGCGGGAGGTACAAACAATCATAAATGACATTATACAGACACAAATCTCATTAACATTGGAATTGTGCATACTATTCATACCACCAGACTCATTCACCAAAGATAAGTGGGCAGCAACATACCATGTCCTTATCTCCGCAGTTATGTGCATCGCTAGGCTATGGAAACAAACAACAGTTCCATCACGAGAGGCCCTCATAAACCAAATAAAACTGAACTGGGCCTATGAGATGGTATACGCGCGCCAATTTGGCGAAAAGAAACACATGAATCTAGCACACTCTCACATATGAAGAATTTTACAAGTGCGCTGTAAGCGCACTATAAGACGCTTCTATTTGACTCTAAGATATGAAGTGCACGCCCCAAAATGTACTATTTAGCAGATTAGCAGCAAAACAATTAGAATGTTTACAAGTCCGCAGAAAGCACACTATTAGACGCTTCGATTTGACTCTCACATATGAAGAACAGGCCCCCAAATTTACTATTTAGCAGATTAGCAGCAAAACAATTAGAATGTTTACAAGTGCGCAGAAAGCACACTATTAGACGCTTCGATTTGGCTCTCACATATGAAGAACAGGCCCCAAAATGTACTATTTAGCAGATCAGCACCCAGAAAATAAGAATTTTTACAAGTGCGCTGTAAGCGCACTATTAGACGCTTCTATTTGACTCTAAGATATGAAGTGCACGTCCCAAAATGCACTATTTAGCAGATTAGCAGCAAAACAATTAGAATGTTTACAAGTCCGCAGAAAGCACACTATTAGAAGCTTCAATTTGACTCTCACATATGAAGAATAGGCCCCAAAATGTACTATTTAGCAGATTAGCAGAAAAACAATTAGAATGTTTACAAGTGCGCAGAAAGCACACTATTAGATGCTTCGATTTGACTCTCACATATGAAGAACAGGCCCCAAAATGTACTATTTAGCTGATTAGCAGCAAAACAATTAGAATGTTTACAAGTGCGCAGTAAGCACACTATTAGACACTTCTATTTGACTCTCAGATATGAAGAACAGGCCCCAAAATGTACTATTTAGCAGTTTAGCAACAAAACTATTAGAATGTTTACCACTGCGCAGTAAGCACACTATTAGACGCTTCTATTTAACTCTCAGATATGAAGTGCACCCCACTAATGTACTTTTTAGCACCCAAAACATTTTAAGTTTTAAAACTGCAATGTGACAGCAGTATTTGATGATTCTATTTGACTCTCAGATATGAAGTACAACCCACTAATGTACTACCCCACTAATGTACTATTTAGCAGCAAAATAAAAATTACTTTTTAAAACTCTGATGTAACCGCGGTATTTGAAGCTTCTATTTGACTCTCAGATATGAAGTGCACCCCCACCCCACTAATGTACTAGTTTGCAGAATTCTTTCCTAAGCTGTCCCTATCAGCGGCAGCATCCTCTCCCTACACTAATAAGACCGCATGTGTGTGCGGCGCTACGCGACTCCAGTTTATATATAGAGGCTGGGTTACATGCTGCTGTGGCCAATTAGTAATTCCATTAGTAGGCATGGCTGTGATGGCTTCAAAGGGCACACGAGTCAAACGCTTGTCGATTGACTGCCCTGCAGCCTTTGAAAACGCGCCATTAAATCGCCGAACACCGAACTACAACCCGAACATACAGTGATATGTCCGTGTTCGGGTCCGGGATCCAAAAAACCTAATGTTCAGTACGAACCCGAACTTTTCAGTTCGGGTTCGCTCAACTCTATTCATAACAAGTCTGTATTACTGAGGGAAGAAGCAGAACAAGAAAGTGCTAGTGCAAGCAGAAGGTCCATTGGTACTCTATCTGATTCTGCAGAGTTGTCACAACCTGCCAGCAGCACTACCACCTTCACTACTACTACAAAGACCTTTAGTGAGAGCAGGGAGGATGGTCAGGATAGTGCCAGCAGTCGACAGAGGCAGGTTGGACAGAAACAGTAGCATCCCTCATCATTCAGTGAATACAAATAAAATAAAAACAGAAAAGAAAAGAAAAATAGAGAACATATTAAAAAGTTCCTGTTGCCTAGCTGCTACTGACAATGCCAAATACAACCACTTTAATTCTCTGATTAAGATTTTTTAATTCATTTATAGTAAGAGATGCATTATCTGCTTTGCAGTGTGTTTCTGTACCAAGGCTTGTGCAGTGGAAATTGAATGCTTCTCCCCTCAGTAATATTCACACAGAGAATAGCTGCAGTTTCTGCAAAAGTAACCCTGCCTACAGTGGCGTACACACCAGGGTCGCGGCTGCGACCGGGCCCGGCCCACCAGGGGGCCCGGCCGCCCCTGCGACCCGGTATGTACGCCCAGGGCTAGCCTCTTCCTCTTGGGGGGCCCAGGAGCCGACCACCCCAGGGCCCCCCCCGAGGCTGGCCCTGCTGACCCCGGGTGGCCGGTCCGGCAGGCGGGCGCGCGAGGGAGCACTCAGTGCTTCCTCTTCAGCTCCCTCGCGCGCCGCACTGATACCGGAGCCGGAAGATGACGTCATCTTCCGGCGCCGGCATCCCTACGCGGCGCGAGGGAGCTGAAGAGGAAGCACTGAGTGCTCCCTCGCGCGCCCGCCTGCCGGACCGGCCACCCGCCTGCCTGGGGTCAGCAGCACCACTGGACCCCAGGGAATCCCCCCAGCACTCCAAAGGGTAAGGAGGCTGGGGGGATTGAATAAAAAAAAAATAGTGTTAGAGTGAGTGTTAGTGTGTGTGTCTGCTAGTGAGTGTGAGTGTTAGAGTGAGTGTTAGTGTGTGTCTGCTAGTGAGTGTGTTACTGTGTGTGTCTTACAGAGTGTCTTACAGAGTATGTGTGTTAGTGAGTCTGTTTGATGTCTGTTAGTGAGTGTGTGTTTGTCAATGAGAGTGTATGTTTTGTAAGTGAGTGTGTATGTATGTCTGTCGCTGAGTGTGTCTGTCAGTAAATGTGTGTGTCTGTTAGCTAGTGTGTATGCGTCTGTAAGTGTGTGTGTGTCTTCAGCACTTACCTTTCTCCAGCGCCGGACTCCCTTGACGCTGAGGATCCCTCAGCCTCTCAGCTCCGAATGCGACCGCGCACGCATTCAAACCGCCCATAGGAAAGCATTACTCAATGCTTTCCTATGGACGTTCAGTGTGCTCCTCTAGCGGCTGTCAGTGAGACAGCCACTAGAGGCTGGATTAACCCTCAGTGAAACATAGCAGTTTCTCTGAAACTGCTATGTTTTCAGCTGCAGGGTTAAAACTAGAGGGACCTGACACCCAGACAACTTCATTGAGCTGATGTGATCTGGGTGTCTGTGGTGGTCCTTTAAAGGACCACTATAGTGCCAGGAAAACATACTCGTTTTCCTGGCACTATAGTGCCTTGAGGGTGCCCCCACCCTCAGGGGCCCCCTCCTGCCCAGCTCTGGAAAGGGGTAAAACTTACCTTTTTCCAGCGCTGGGCGGAGAGCTCTCCTCCTCCGATCCTCCTCTTCTCCTCCCCGTCGGCTGTATGCGCACACGCGGCAAGAGCTGCGCGCGCATTCAGCCGGTCACATAGGAAAGCATTCATAATGCTTTCCTATGGACGCTGGCGTGCTCTCACTGTGAAAATCACAGTGAGTAGCACGCAAGCGCCTCTAGCGGCTGTCAATGAGACAGCCGCTAGAGGAAATAGGGGAAGGCTTAACCCATTCATAAACATAGCAGTTTCTCTGAAACTGCTATGTTTATGAAAAAATGGGTTAACCCTAGCTGGACCTGGCACCCAGACCACTTCATTAAGCTGAAGTGGTCTGGGTGCCTAGAGTGGTCCATTAAGTGTGTGTGCATCTGCATGCACTGGCGTACATACCGCGGTCGCAGCCCTGTAACCCCTGCGACCAGGTGCCCACCACCATGTGTTGCGGTCCGGCCCGCGCGCGCGGGGGGCCCACGGATCAATTTTCACACCGGGGCCCCAGGGGTCATGTGTACGCCACTGCCTGCCTACACTGAGTGTGGTAGGTCTTTTTTTTTTTTTTACTTTTTGTAGTAAAAAAGTAATCCAAAATGTGATGGTGGTGGCGTTACCTTTGTTGAATCATCTAAAAAAAAATTAAATATTCATGCTGTTGCTCTACCTTTTTTTTCAGATACCTTCATTGTGGTTTTATCCTGCCTGACTGTGTCTTGTGGTGCCCGTTACCTCCAGAGACAGAGTTTGGAGAAGCTGATAGAACATTGTTTTTTCCACAATGAAGGATTAAAAAGAAATTGAAAAAAGGAAAGGAAAAGGTATTTTTTTTGAAAAAATTATGACCCACTCACCAATTTCACCATCTTATATTATTTATTTTTCCTGCTTATACCAACAATTTTATTGCTTGGGTGTTATAATCCCCACTTAGGATATATGAAGATGGGACCAGTTGATGTAATGCCAGAGGAATCTTCAATGTAGTATGTGATTGTAAATCCACAGAGGGAATAGTAGTGAACACTAGTATTTATTTATTTCTTTATTTTTATTTGACAATTTTTATTGGACAGTGCATGCATATTACAGTCTTATTCACAGGTATTGTACTTTTCAGTCAGCACACAATATATCATAGCATATACATACAGCACTTGCTTAGTAACTTTTCCTTCATCGTTGCTATGTGCTCTCATGGTTGTGTGGTGGAGCTTAGAGGATTCTGTAACAACATTTAGCGTTCATTGATATACAATGTTCAAGAACACATAGTAACATATCAAGGATGTTCTGACAGATTAGTACTAGGCTTTACATACACTATACCTTTTTGGTGGTGAGGGTTGGGTTTGTGATGGGGGGGAGGTATAACTTGGTAGGAGAGACTTGCATTCGTACATCAAGTCTTCCCAGTGGTTCATGTGTCCTTTATAGGTGTTCTAAAAAATCATTCCACATATTGTGTGCTAGTCTCATGTGGTTCTTTACCCCGAATTGGTGAGCATAGGTCATTTCATAGGCCCAATTGAGCTTTATTTGGTGTATGATGGAGATTCTGGTTGGGGCTGTTGTTTTTTTCCAGAGCCTGGCAATGCTTATGGCAGCAGATATGAGTATATGGTATGTTGTCGCCCACTTGTCTTTAGAGAATGATTCTGGTGGGATAAATAGGATGCATAGCTCCAGGGTCAGTGTAATTTGTGTCGGGTAGTCGGGTGTGACATGTAGTGGTGGTAGAGGTCTCCCTCATGTGGATGTTTTTGAATCTTGCCTGTGGTTTACAGCATATTGGGATTTCCCTGTTGTTTTGACGGGATACATTTGTCTCTCTTAGAAAGGGAGGGGGAAGAGGTTAGGGGAGGGGGTGTTAGGTGTGTCGTACTGTGAGGGTACGATAAATGTAGTTGTCATGTAGTTGCCATTCGTGGGCAGTGGGTCCAAACTTCGGTCCCATAGAGAACGTGGTTATCCGAAAAGAAGTTTCAAACATTAATACTTTGGCCTATTTCTATTTGGTGTGACCAATTACGGAGCTGGTCTGACTCCTTGGTCGCATATATGCCCCGCTGTGGGGTGATCAAACCCAGGTTTAGCAATTCACTGCAGTCTCGTGGAACTCTATATATACTCAGATTTCACGGTAATATAACAAAGTATAACCTGAACATTCAATATATTTTAAGAAATTTTTTTTTTCTGTTTTCTCTCTTTGGGCAGTTTACAGGTTAGCTAGCCTGCGGGGAGCTCCCGGTGTCTGGTCTGGTAACATTTTCTTCATTGCCCCCCACTGTACTGGTGAAGTGTCATGGTCCACTGGATGCGTGGCTACAATTAGTGATCTCTCTGTGTAGTGTGTGCTTATGTGGGATGAGGGTTGTGGGTGTGTTGTGTATCTTCCTCCGTGGTTAGGTGTTAAGAGTGGCTTCTTGGTGGGGTGTTACTGGTGTAGGTGGTGGCCCGTTGCTGGTTATGACTTGTCCCATCTCACCCTGGAGTCGGCGGCCAGGGAGTTTTAATCTGATTTCTTAATTACAGATCGCACATAAGATATTCATGGCATGGTGCTCCAATTAGTCTAATACATTTGTACCTTTCATGCTAACACGGTATTCCTATTGCATTGCAATACAGTGCCAATTATACTTTAGTTCGCATACCTCCCTGCTCCCCCCAGTGCTCCCTCAACCCCGCGGTCGGTGCGGGTAATTGGAAACTCCCGCTGCTGTGGTGGGCTCCTCGGGTGGTCTGTACTTAGGCCCTCTGCGTCTCTATGCCTGGAGGTAATTATCCGGCATGTTGGCTGCTCTTTACTGCCCGGCCTATGTCTGTATGTGCGGGTGATCACCTATGTTGGGCCTTGCTGTGGTGAGGTTGGTTGGTTCCTACCAGGCTGCCAAGTCACTGTGGCATGGTCCCCCACCTCCTCTCATGTGTGTGGTGGATATAGTCATGGGAGTGTGTGCTAACGCGCCGTGTGTGTGCTGTTGCCAGTGTGCTGCAAAAATAGAGGTGGGGGGCTAGGTGTGACATATTCACCTGTCCTGAGACCGGGTACTGTCCTTGTGATTGTCCAACAATCAAGTTCCAATTTAACTAAAACTTCAGTATATAACAACGAGTACTGTGATCAGCGTATGGCAACTCACGCTATTTCAGCTGCAATGGTAAGTCCCGGGGTCTGCCACCTCTCTGTCTGGGCTGCTTGTCAGCAATCTCAGGTGCATGCTTTTTTCCAGTCTGGTTGAAGCTTGGCCGGTTGTTGATGGTTGTTGCTCCGCGTCTGAGTTTGGAGTTGGATGCCCCATTGTCTCAGGAGTTTCCTTCCGTCATCTTGGGAGGTGATGACATGCATAGCTCCATTTTTGTGGATGAGAAGGCGGACCTGGTGTCCCCAGTGGTATGGCACTTCGTGGAGCCTGAGCGCTTCTGTTATTGCTTTATATTCTCTCAGTTTTTGTAAGGTTTGTGCGGAGAGGTCTGTGTATAATTGAATGGAGTTGTATGGGGCAGGGAGGTCTTTGCGTTGCCTGGACGCCTTCATCAGCGCTTCCTTAGCATGAAAATAATGAAGGTGAGTAAGTATGTCCCTGGGTGCTTCTACTGGCAGAAATTTAGGTTTTGCCACTCTGTGTGCTCTATTCATGAGCAGGACGTCTGCTGGTAAGTCAGGGGCCAGTGCTTTGAAGTAGCCTGTGAGGTATGCCATAATGTCTGGTTGTTTGACTGTTTCAGGTATACCTCTGAGGCGTATATTCTGTCTCCTTGATCTGTCTTCTAGGTCCATAATTTTATTTTGGCAGGTCTCCAGTGCTTGTTCCATTTTTTGGACTTGGTCCGCCATATCGTTGTGTGCCTCCGCATATTCTCCCATGCGGTTTTCCATGCATGCCGTTCTGTCTCCCAATTCCTGGAGGTCTTTCCTTCGGTCTGAGATAGATTTATTAAAATTATGCAGCAGTTTATCTGACATTTCTTCCAGACATGCATGGAGTATGTCCTGCGTGACAGGTAGGCCTCTTTCCCCTGGGGATCCTTGCAGCGGCAACGTGTCATCGCCATCTTGGTCTGGGTTTGATGTGCCCTAGGGTTTAGGTGGCTGATTTTGGGCCGTAAAGAACCTGTTTTTTTCAGGTTTTTCGGGGTTTCTCTTCACCTTGTGTTGAGCCATGTCTGGGTGTTCGTTCTAGAGGATTTGCTGGTCACTCACGCTGATTTTTGTCGTTTTTTAGGCCGGTGTAGAACGGAGCTTCGCTCACATGCGTCTGTCCACGCCAAGAGTTAGGCCACGCCCCATTTTTAAAAAAAATTTTTTTTAATTACATTTTTCCCAAATAAATGTCTCCTGCTACTACAAAGACACCATTTTGTTTGTTTGTATTTTTTAAACCTGACAGATGGTCACCGTCGCAACAGACTGGATGTGTGGAAAAGCTTTGTTCTTGTCAGGGCAGAAAAGGGGATTGGGTGGTCAATTGTCCACTGACTTTTTCTTCTCTCTTCTGGATAAACACAGGAAAAAGATTACAATCAATATAAAACTTTTTTTCTAAATGTTTTTCACTTCCTATTTTTTTAAACCAAAAATGTAAAAAAAAAAATCTAATTTTTGAAACTCAGAATTGACATTGCAAAAATGGCTGATATTGCGTATCCAGGCAAAATTAGCCATTTTTGAATGTCAGCACAGTCATAGTTCCCTTTTTTCCTGCTGGTCAAGCTATCCAAATTGTCTTCCAGTTTTTATTTCCTTACCTAAATTCAAGTCAAACTGAGACATGGACTAAATTCTCAAAATGGGGAAATTCAGCACTTGAGAATTACTGATGTGGTTCAACGCAGCCAAACCGGAGTGAACAGAAGTTATTACAGTAGCTTCCAGTTCTCCTCTCCTGGAGACTGTGTGCTGGGGATGAACGTGTGTGTATTGAGCTGGTGACCATTTGGAAGTTAATTGGTTGGTGATTGTGGGGGTGTCAAGGTGTACAAGGGGATGTATTTATGTGTCCTGATTCTCCACACAGTGTGGCTACAAAGTTTTTCAGAGTGGTCTGTCAGTCTTTTACCAGGCAGAGGTGCAGACCTGATGTATGGTTAGGTGTAGACCTCTGTAAATGTTTCCTTCTTGTCTGAGACAAGTAGGGATATTGGCAATAATCTGCACCTGGCAGTGGTGCAGACCTGATGCTAACTTCCCATTGCAGGAGAGCATAGATATGTTGAGATCTTTTGATTGCTTCCCTGGCCTTTGCAGTGACAATGTGTCCCTCAGAGCTGGTGCTCTAATAGTAGCACCGGTTCTGTCTGTCACTTGGGCAGGCTGCCACAGATAGAGCAACACTTGCAAACAAAATCAATTTACCATTCCAATACCATGGGAATTGTATACACATGATTATCATAGTGAAGGGGTTAATAAATTTTTAAATCACAATTGTCCAATATATTTTTTGATTACATTTTTAAAATGAAGATCAGAGTCCTGGGACAATTACATAGTGAGACAGTAGACCAATAATCAGAATTTCCTCATTAATATCTGGACAGTTCACAAGTATGCACTCAGAAACACTGGGACACCAATATGTGTTGACATTGCCCACATCGAAGCACATCAAAATGTACATGTAATATTGCACCCACACAGAAAAATGTATATATGAACACACTCATAACGTGAACCCAAGGCTCACATATATGCACAGCTGTTGACTTACAGGTGCACTGAAATACGCCCACTGACAGTGTACACACAGAAGCTCTGATACACATTGACACTGCACACGCCATAAACCATGGTTTTACACCTAGAGACATTCATGTGTATTCACATGATCTGTACGCACAGAAACTCTCACATTCCTCAATATTATATAAACCATATATGTTTTCATTCATTCAAAAAGCTAATTATGATATTAACAATCTTAGGATCAAACAATCTTAAAATAGTGTGTCACTCCTAAGCATCGCACATAGCACCTAAAGGTGTAAGGCTGACCTTGCTGGCTGAACAATGCTAATTTTGGTCTCAGATTTTCAAGAAATCAACAAACCTATTGGGACCCAAAGTTGTGGTACTACAATCAGCATTGATACACATGTATAAATGGCAGATACTCAACCTGTAAAGTGCAAACAAAATTATAAAAAGGTTTGCACTCCTGGAAAAGTGGTGGGGGGTGGGGGGTAGGGGAAGGCAGCAAAAAGGAATAAGAAAACTAAAAACTAGCTGGATGTGTTGCACATCTATTAAGATGCTTTGTTAGCAGCTCATGATTTTAGGCAGATGGGGATATTGAGGATGGAAGATGCTATTAAGTATTGATGGTATGTCTGTAAAGAAAAAAAAGACTGGGGACTGTTAATTGCAATCACATCCTTCTGAAAATTAGTAGGCACAATACTCTACTCATTAGCCCTCCTAAGAAGAACATAATGGGTTACTGAAATGCACAGAGTGGCTACAAAGAAGACCAAGTAATCTACTGAAGAAGATAACTAATGAGTACAGTTAGTTGCTCAGACGAATAGGAGGACTACCGAGGTCAGAGAAGCACAGGTGGAAGAGTGCTAAGAAGGCGAGGAGGTTAAGTGTGAGGAGTAATTAGCAGGTAGGTGACCAAGCGTTGGGATTCTAGAATTAAACATATTGTACTGAACCCTTGTAGTGTTTTTTTTATATATCTTTAATGTTTTATTTATTGTTTAATATCAATATGAAGAACATTTCTAAAAGCAACTTTCACCTGTTTGTTTCGTAGACTATAAATAATTGGGTTCAACATAGGTATAACTACTGTGTAAATCAGTGAAACCACTTTGTCCTTCTGAACTGAATAACTGGAAATAGGTCTTGCATATACGAATATAGCTGTCCCAAAAAACAATGCGACCACCATGAGATGAGAAGAACAAGTTGAGAAGGCCTTCTGTCTTCCGTGTGATGAATTCATCCTCAGCATTGCCAAAATAATTTTAATATATGAAACCAGGATAATTACAGCAGAGAGTATACCAAGAACACTAGATAGTAGGAACATGAAGAGTTCACTCAAGAAGGTATCAGTGCATGAAAGTTTAAGTAGTGGAGGAATGTCACAAAAGAAATGGTTCACTACATTTGATTCACAGAACGATAGCCGGAAAGTACAAGTTGTATGTATTATTGAAGTTAACAATCCCAGAGCATACGATGACCCAACTAATTTTACCCTAAAAAGTTTGTTCATGATAATTATGTAATGAAGTGGATTGCAAATAGCCAAATATCGATCATATGACATTGTAGTTACAATGAAACACTCTGCACCCACAAACAAAGCAAAAAAGAACAACTGAGAGGCACATCCTTTATAAGATATGTGCATCCTATTGGACAGCATACCATGTAGAACCTTTGGGGTGATGACTGATGAATAGCAAAGATCTGAAAATGACAGATGCCCAAGAAAAAAGTACATGGGATTCTGAAGAGTTGAGGAACAATTAATTAAAATAATCATACATGCATTCCCCAACAATGTTGTTAAATAGATTAATAAAAATACCATAAAAAATAGAAAATTGAATTTAGGGTTATCAATTAATCCTGACAAAATAAATTCTGTTACAGATGTTTGATTGATTTGCACCATACTGTAAAAAGGAAAAATGTATTTGAAATTATATTTATATCATGTGTGCATTGTAGTTTTATACAGTTAATTTTATATATCAGCAAAATTATGTAAAGTATTGAATATAACATTGACGTGGGAGCAAAGAAAACAGCAACAACAACAAAAACGAATCAAACATGGTATTATAGCTCAATGAGTTGGTCACAGGGATTGTCATATCCCAGTGCCATACACGGAATATGTTTTATACATACTATAATATAACATATATTTAGTACATTGTTCATAAATACACTGAGTATTTTAAATCTCGATCACAAATAACCTCTATGCTTATCTTATTGTTAAAGAAAATAGTTTGGGGTGAATTGACTTGGTATGCAGAGAAAAGGCAAAGCAAAGCAAAGTAACTCAACAGAAAGTCTTGGAATAACAAATTAGTAAGAGCTTGGAGAGGCCAGGGGAAAGGCCATGTAGAGGCAGGAAAACAGGAAAGCAAAAGAAAAGTCTTAACAGGATGATCCAAGCAGGACCAGCACACAGGAAGTCTTGGCAGGTTAATCAAGTAGGCAAAGGCTAACCAGGCAATCCAGGATAGGCTATGGCAGGTAAAAGGTCAACAAAGGCAGATTCAGACAGGCAAGGTTAATGAAGGCAGGTTCAGGCAGGCAAGGTTAATGAAGGCAGGCAAGGTAACCACTAGGGAGTTCACAAGACAACTGAGCGTGGTCTGGGTTAAAAAGGGGAGAAGGAGTGAGAGCCCTCCCATGAGTAGATGGCCTCCTTTGGGTAAAGAGGCATCCACACCCCCTATGTGGGTGGGATGCTATATCAGTTTGTCCCTTCAACTAGCTGTTCCCCACACTGCTCCCAGAAATACAAGGTTGGATCCCCCAGGGTTCTGACACCCTGAAGGGATTGTAGAGCAGAGTGTGGGACACAATACACGTTACACAGGATGATACAAAATATATGAATGTAGCGCTTTATATAAAAAAAAAAAAAAATAATGAATCACCTTGTAGAGCTGTTATTAGGAGATTATCCTAACAGGTACATCAAATGGATGTCTGTAAAAAACAATCATACATAGTGCAGATCATACAATATAGAGTGGTGTAGAAGATCTAATTTGTTAAACTCACAAACGTGGAGCTGTGGGCCCAGCTCTAGTTTAATTCGCCTCTGGATCCGTTTAGGAGATCCACCCCTATTATCGATACTTTTCTTGTTCTATAAAAGAAAATAGGGGGCACAACCAATTGCGCAGTATTGCTAAAACATATATTTTACACATCATAAATTGTCTTTTCCATAGAACTAGTGGCAATAGTAACAAGTGGATTTTGCAACAGTTCTTCAAAAAAAAAGGACAGGCAGGACCTAAAATATAAAAATATAAAAAAATGATCTGCATTAACATACCACTCCTCTAAATGCACCCATTGCTAATATAATAACCTTACAGACCCAAGAATTCCCAGAAGAAAAACAAGACAACAATTGTCCACGAAAATGTATTAAAAGCCGACGATTCTTCAAAAAATAATTTTATTGTGAGTAAAATTCTGTCTTTCTATGCAGATAGCGGCAGTAGTAACAAGTGGGATGTAGAAAGATAAAGGTAATGGGTGGGTAGACTGTTCAGTCTGTAGTACGTTTCACCCAAATGAAACTTCTTGCAAGACTCGAATGTCTAATCT